TTCAGAATGATTTTAGATTCAATTAATGCATGCAATCATCCTTGACGTGTCAAGAGAAATACGCATAGGCATTCCATGTGTCAAGCTCTGGTGATCCGGGTCTAAAAAATAGCGTAAAGGTAGTTAAACATATTTTTTCCATTAATAATTTATATTTCCATTAATATTTTCCAATTTCTTCTCGTTTTTCGAGTTGTTTCCAATTTTTTCAGTTCTTTCCAATTTAATCTTGTTTTTTCCATTTTCTTCCAATTTTTTCTAGCTATCTCCATTTTCTTCAAACTCTTTATATTTAACAAACAATGACTCTAAAAATGATATATTTTTAATGTAAATATTATTATTATTCTTATTATCTAAAATAGATTATTATATTAAATTAAATAGATGTCCCGAGAGTATTATTATATTCATAACTATAATTCATAAATTATTTCAATTTTTCTTTTTTTATTTTTTCCAATGTCACTATGTATGTTATACTATGTATGTTATTCACACTAATTATTATCTAAAACAAATCATTATATTAAATTAAATAGATGTCCCAAGAGTATTATTATTACATTCATGACTATAGTTTATATATCATGTAAATTTCTCTGTTTCTAATTTTTTCACATGTCACTATGTATGTGATTCACACTCATTATTATTTTTTCTTTAGTTTTTTAATAGAAATAATACAATGTTTTTGTTTATTATTCGAGTAATTTACATGACACTAAAACTATCTTCTAAAAATTATGAATAAAAGAGTTATTTTTATTAATCTAAATTGATATGGGAAATTATCAATATTTTAAACTAACAAGTAGTAGTAGTAGTAGTAGTAATAATAATAATAATAATAATAATAATAATAATAATCAACATAATAACAATTACAATAAGAATAGTAATAATACGAATAATAATTTAAAGCTTTGTTGAGATTTTTTAGTTCTTTTAGTTTTTTTGGTTTCTTCTAGTTTTAGACTTTTAGCAGTTTCTTCGAGTTTTCCATGTTCATTTCAATTTTTTCCGTTTCTTCAAATTCTTTGCACTTTATTCTAGTTCTTTTCAATTATTAAACTTTTATAAGTTTTTACAACATCCAACTATTTTTTCAACTCTAAAAAATATACTTTTTATAACTTTATTTTCTTTAAGATCACTACTACTTATTTTATTTAGAACATTTGTATCCCAATAATTTAAAAATGATTAGAAATCAAAATTTGAATTACAAATTATTCAATAAAGTAGTAAAATGGATCGGTAACCCAACATAGAGGAGTTTGATTTTAAAATGATTATATGTTTTTGAGGAAATGTTTATATTTCATTGTTTCTAAGAATTTTGTATTTGATATTGAATTCTAGATTAAAATATACTCCCTCCGTCCCATAAAGTGTTACCCATTTTGACTAAAGTTGAAATTAAGGAAGGGATAATTTTGTGTTGACTTTCCAAAAATATCCTTGATGTGATGGGTAAAAGTAGGATGTGATGTGTAGATTATTAGGAAAAAGGTATGATATGATAGGTAGGGTTTGAAAAAGTAAGGGGTAAAAGTGGTTTTTTAATATAAATGGGTAAAGGATTGTGGGACACAACTTTTTTGAAACGTGTAAATCTTTTTGGGACGGAGGGAGTATTCCGTAATAAGTTTATTAGTTCATTTGCTGACAAAGGGTAATTTATCTTTAGAATGATTATATTTCATTGTTTTAATTTTTTTTGAATTTAAGATTTATTTTAATATTAAAATTTATTATATATTATAAACATTTTTTTTCACAAATGAATATTATGTTAATTTATTAATGTAATTATGATATGGAATTTTATTTCATAAAGTAGGTCTATCATATTTCCACATTTAAAAACTCAAGTAGAATTGCCAAGTCATTGTAAGATAGGTGGACGATTGAGTTGTCAAAAATATCGCCAAGTAGACTATCCACATGTCAAAATTCTAGGGTACTCAGTCTCAAATATTATAGTTAAGGATAAGGATATATAAATAAAAACAAAACTCTCTAAAACGCTTTTTATATAATAGTAAACAGTATTATTTTTAAAATACAATAATGTACCGAGTACTATTTTATATCCGGATCTTATTTCCTTATTTATAACAATTTTTATATTTAATACTAATAAGTATTACAGTATTTTTTATATATAGTAATGTAGTATTGTATATACAGAGTATATTAGATTTTTATTGGATTATGTTACAAATCTTTTAAGACAATAGCATTAATATATTAATTTTTTTTATTAATTCCGTCTCAAAATTAAAATGAAATTAAATTAAATCTGTACATAAAAAATGAAGACATATCTCCATATGATTTTATTTCCAAATGTGGAAATAAAAAAACAAAACATTATAATGCAAATATGGAAAAAAACAAAACAATATAACAAAACCTTTGCTTCTGATTTCCCTTTTAAATTCTCACCATATTTTATTTATTTCCTACTTTCATTACTTTATTACTTTTTTTCACAAATATAGAAATATTTGTTAAATAAGTGCATTTTTTCTATATTAAATAGGGTTGGGATTTTATTACTTTATACTCCCTCCGTCCCAAAAAGATTTACACGTTTCAAAAAATACTGTGTCCCACAATCCCTTACTATACTAATTTCTATTAAAGAACCACTTTTACCCTTTACTTTTTCAAACCCTACCTATCACGTCATACCTTTTTCCTAATAGTCTATACATCACATCATATTTTTACTCATCATATCAAGGGTATTTTTGGAAAGTCAACACAAAATTATCCCTCCCTTAATTTTCACTTTAGTCAAAATCTGTAAAACTTTTTGGGACGGAGGAAGTAACTTTTATTCACAAATATGCATATGAAAAAAACCAAACAATATAATGCACGGTTTGTTTCTGATTTCGTTTTTTAATCTTTACGATTTTTTACAATTATTTCCTCCTTTCATTACTCCATTAATTTTATTTGCAAATATGTAAATAAAAAAAACAAAACTATTTACAACTCTTATATATATATATATATATATATATATATATATATATATATATATATATATATATATATATAATATTAATAAGTAATATTTTATTATATACAACAATGTAGTATTTTAATATTAATCAGTAATATTTCCTTAATTAGAATAGTTTTTATATTTAATAATAATTAGTATTATTATTTTTATACATAGTAATGTATACTACAAATTTTTAAATGTAATGTATTAGATTTTTTATCTGAGTCATGTTACAAAACTTTAAACACATTATCCTTAATATATTTATTTTTTATTATTTCCGTTTGAAAAATTGCTTTGATTTCCTATTTAATTCTTGCCATTTTGTATTTATTTCCTCCTTTAATGGTATCAAGGTAATAATATACTCCGTAGTAGGAAACTGTTACCCTTTTTAGAGTGTCGTAATATTTCCTCCTTTAATGGCAACAAAATAATAATATAGCATGAAATTCTTACATTTTTAGATTACTGTAAGTCTACATTAATGAAAAATTTTATATCAACCGTAGATGATCAAATCCTCAAAGATCGACGGCTCACAAAGGTGTGAGTTTGGATGGGAACCGTATAAAGTTAATTTCCTTTTTTATACTCTGTAATATTTTAAAATAAAATAAACCTAAATATGTATATACACAATGCTTTCCCTTTTTCGAGTAATGAATACACGGTATTAATTTTGGGCATTAAATACACATGGTATTAATTTTGGTAATTAATACCAATAGATAATACACAATGCACAAAGTATTTCCCTAATAGATTAAAATACATACCGTATTAATTTAAAAATTCTTAACTAATATAATCACTTGCCATTAATAATACGGTACTATTAGAGCCTCTTTTTCTGTCTTGACCCAAACCATCGAGTTTTTAGGGCTGGCCCTGAAACTAAACATCCAACATCACTGAACATTATTTCCGCCACTAGACATTATGCAAGTACTATTTAGATAATAAAAAAGTTTAAGTTTTACATTGAACAATAACATACTCCCTCCGTCCCAGAAACCTTTCTTTTTTCATCCGTCCCAAAAAACGCTTCTCATTTCTATTAAAAAGTCACTTTTACCCCTTACTTTTTCATACCCTACCTATCACATCATACCTTTTTACTAATAATCTATCAATCAAATCATACTTTTACCCATCACATCAAAGGACATTTTTGGAAATTCAAAACCAAAATACACCCTTTAAATCCCTCTCCAAAACCAAAACTCCCATGTTTTTCGAGACGGAGGGAGTGTGTTTTAGTACTCCCTCCGTCCCAAAAAATTTGTTACGTTTAGAAAAAAATGCGTCCCGTAAAGTTCGTTACATTTCTATTAAAAAACCACTTTTACCCCTTACTTTTTCATAGCCTACCTATCACATCATACCTTTTTCTAATAATCTACCCATCACATCAAGGGTATTTTTGGAAAGTCAATACCAAAATATCTCTCCATTAATTTCCCAAAAAGTCAAACCGTCACATTCTTTTTAGAACGGAGTACTATTTAGTGCAAATTTTACATCATCAAATTCATCCATAAATTAAACAAAACAAACGTGTATTAAATGAATATGAGCTAAAAATCAAAATTCCCTAAAAAAAAGAATTCAAGAAATGCCATGGGTTTTAATACATTCTTCTCTCTCATTGCAAAGAGGGATATGCTAGGGGTACACCAAATGTGTACCCCAAATGTACACCACTCCCCTTTCTACCATTCATTTTATTTTATTTTTATTTTTTATTTTTTTTTTGAATTTTTTTGCTTTTTTTTGTGGTGATGGAGGGGGTGAGGGATGTTTGAGGTACACTTTTGGTGTACCCCTAGCATTTTCCTTGCAAAGATCATTACTTTTCTCCCATTTGCATAATGCCAGAGAAAAAAAAATGACACCTTCAATTCAGTAGTAATTCCAATTAAACTGCTATCATTATAATTATTAATTTAATTAAAAAACATTGCCTACTACACTTTGTCTGCGTATATTATAAAGAAACGCAGCAGTGAGCGGCCATATATAATATATGTAGCCGCATACTCCCTACCCACCATTTTTGTAGCTGGGAAGGATATGCTATAAACCTCAAACTTAGCTAAAATTAAATAAAATCTCAAGTCATACTATATCATAAACCAGCAGACTAGAAGATGAGAGTGAAGTCATGTTCTTTCTTGGCACAAAGCTTCCTCAACTCCTCAGCCACCCCATCGATCTCTTTGTCGCCTTTCTCCACCAGCATCTCACGCATCGCCGCCGCTTTTGACCTCACGCCCTCTCCGGCCTCCTCCTGAACCACCGCTTTGATCACCGCTGCTATTTTGTCGCAAGAGTGCTTGCCATTGCTGTCCCTGACAACTTCCATCGCCACTCCCACCTCGGCTGCCAGCTTGGCATTCACGGGCTGGTCGATGTGCATGGGCATGGCAATGATGGGGACGCCGTATTTCATGCCCTCCATGACCGAGCTCCACCCGCAGTGGCTGACAAACCCTCCAATGCTCGGGTGCTCCAAGATCTTCGCCTGTGGGGCCCAACCCTCGACGACCAAACCTCTCTCCCCGACCCTTTCAAGAAACCCTTCCGGCAAAACTTGTTTGATGAGATCACCATGGTCTTCTCCTTTTGGAAACCTTAAAACCCAGATAAAATTCAGGTTGCTAAGGTACAGACCATGAGCGATCTCAGTCAAGTCTTCTTTGGTCAAGAAGTACTCGCTTCCAAAGGAAACAAACACGGTAGATTTCTCTTCTTTCCCATTGAGCCACACGATCACCTCGGATTCCCCGTCTTCTTTACTAGGTTCTTGAACCAATGCCCCGACCGGGACCATTCTCTTCCCGGTCAAAGTGGTGATGAAATTACTATACTGACCTTCGATCTCATCAAAGCTCTTGATCAAGACGAGGCCGCAAGAGCGCGCAAAGCAATCGCGCACGCGGCTCTTGTCTTTCTCGCGTCTCTCCGGAGGGGTCGACGCATTCTCCTTGGCAATCTTAGCGAGCTCGTAGTCTCGGTACCGGATGGCGGGGAACGGGAACTCAACACCCGGCTGCTTGAACTGTTGGACCATGAGGCAAGTCATGGTGGAGCTGCTGCTGATGAACTCGACTGCGGGGATGCCGAGCTCCGCCGCCTCTTGTGGGGCCCACGGCTGGAGGAAATCATAGACGAGAAGGTCGGGTTTGATGTCGCGGAGGAGCTGCGCGAAGGCAGGACGCGATGCATCAAACGCCTCCTTGAGAACGGGCATGAGGTGTGGGGGGAGGCCGTTCGTCGTGTGGTAGTGCGGCGGAAGTTCCGAAGACGACGGGAGCGTGAGCTCGAGAAACCTCACGGAGGCATCGGCACCGAGCTTCTTCTTCACCGGCTCAAGGGTTGCAGGGGTGGAACATATGTAAATCTCAAAATTTCTCAGGCTCAACTTCTTGCCCAATTCCAAGAAAGGGGAGACATGGCCATATCCTAGCCATGGGAACATCGCCACACGAAGGCGTCCGTCGTGGTGGCCGCCACCGCCGCCGTTGTTTTGCTCCGATCCTTTCATGGAATACATATATTTCTCTCTTTTTTCTACCAATAATTCACTTAAAATGTTCGTAATATGTGTGTGTATATATATTGTGTGGGATGTGAAGGAACCATATACGGAGTAATACTTTAAATTTGGAAAGCACGAGTAATTAAAACAAGCTATTTAAACATGGCATTATTTGCATATATGTATATTTCCATAGTCTTTATTTTTATGCGGTTTTAAGATGGTACATCTTAATAAAAAACGTGCATGGTTTAGTCTCCCCGGCTAACGACAATGAAAACGGCGTCGAAACAATGTTTAAACTTATACTCCCTCCGTGACAAAAAACATTTCCAGATTTGGCTTTTTGATGTTTTAAAGGAAGTGTTTTTTAGTGTTTAGCTTTTTTATGTAAAAAGTAATATGAGATCTGATGTGAGAAAATAGAGTTAAAGAAGGGTATTGCTGTAGACCTGTAGTACATTTTGGAGAAATTGAAATGTTTTATGGGACAAGTAAGATGAGAAAGTTGAAATGTTTTGTTGGACGAAAGGAGTACAAATTTACCAATTCAAACGACTTTAAAACTTATTCTATTAAATAATTTCAAACAATCTGAAATATTTACTTTCAAATTTATTAAATTATACTTATAGCTTATTATTTATTAGATTTTCATCCTTTAAAATTTAAAATTATTTTATCATATTTAACTTTTTTTTATTTCCAAAATGAACTAATTATTTTTTCACATTTAATGAGTTTTAACACCACTATTCCTCCAATTTCTCTAACTTCTTTCAATGTTTTCTAACATTTTATTTTAGAAATCAAACCGAAAAGAACTTTGTCTAATAGTACTTTAGATTTATAAAAGTATATTACAGAGTACACCGTATATTCTTTCCGAAATTATTTGAAAAGTTCTAAAAATAGATGATGATGATGATGCTAGATTTTTTGAAAATATATAAGATTCACCGTATATTTTTACATGTTTAAATTATTACTCGTATTAAAATCATAAAGTAAATTTTATTCCGGTAGTAATCAATGGAGTGATTTGTGATTACCATACATTATTTTATCATCATACAAGGGAAGTAATTTTCCTCCTCTTCCCAATTAAAATAATTGTTTTTACATCTTTTTTTATTCATGCCAAAATTAAATTGATCTTCCCCGTAAATTTCCCATGCACTTCTTAACTTGGTAAATAATTAAATACTCCATATTAATAAACTTCATTTTGTGAAATCTCACCCCATTTGCGTACGGGGTATACCATATTTAAAATCCTAATCTTGCATGTGTTTGGAAACTTGAATTTGAATTTCAAATTCAGATTTGATCCAAATTACAAAGTACTTGTTTGAGAAGTCAAAGAATTTAGGTTTAAAATATCCATCCCCATTTCATTTACAAATTCAAGCTCAATTTTTCTTTAATTTAAAAATTTTAACTAATTTAAAAGTGATCTCACCTTATATAATAACAATTACATACATATCAACCGGCTTACGTTATCGTCTTTGCTGACTTCAAAATTCAAATTCTAAAATTGAAATCCTATGACTTCTTAAACAATATTTTGAATTTAAAATTATGGAATTTCAAATGTTGGAATTCTTTACTATAATATTTGAGACTCGACTCAAAGAATTTCGACACGTGGGGGGGTCTACTTGGGTTCTTTAACAAGTCATCAGCCACCTATTTATTATTTTAATGAGTTGACAATTTTAATTGGATTAAGCTATTTGTACCCCAATTTTTGTACCCCACTTTGTACCCCGCAGCTTTGCACCAACACAAAATGTTGGTGTAAAACTAATTTTTGTTAATGCACCAACACTTTGTGTCCGTGTAAATTTTTGTTAACGCACCAACATTTGTGTTGGTGTAAACCATGAAAATGTTTGTGTATAACTGTGGTGTACAAATGAGGTATAATTTGTGGTGTAAGTGTAGCATGACCCATTTTAATTATATACGGAGTAGTGAATTGACATTAGTTTATTTTATTTGAGAGAAAGACCAAAATAGGACTAAAACATTGAAAATATACCAAAATAGGACTTCCATGTTTTTATTCCCGAAATAGGACTTACATTACCAAACATGGTCATATACATTACCAAAAATGTATAGTAATGTGCACATGTACACTGCCACATTACCACAGTGCAAAGTCACATTACCACAGTGCAAGGTCATATTTCAGGGAAAAAAACATGAAAGTCCTATTTTGGTACTTTTCTCTATGTTTTAGTCCTATTTAGGGTGATTTCTATTTTATTTTTTATTGATTGAACATGGTGACTAAATTAATACTCTTAGTTTTTTTGGGAGTTTCATGTTGTCAATATTAAGAATTAGTAATCCCATTTTTTAACACTCTCGTTCCTTATTCGAGTAATATGTTTGACCAATAAATTTTTCTAAAAATACATTAGTAAAAAACTATTAAAAATATTTCATTAAACGTATTTTTATTTAGATATTATATTCTAATTTTTATATGTTAAATTAACTAGTATCGCACCCGTGCTTTGCACGGTTCATATTTACGCTATTAAATTAGGATCATTTTTGAATGATAGAAAATGATATCTAATACTTCATCCGCCCCATAAAACACTTCTTATTTGAAAAAAGGTGTGTTTTTAAAATGAGTCATTTTAGTGTTATGTTCTAATTATGACTCATCGATCACACACATCTCATTCTACTCTATTATAAAGTAAGGGCAAAATTAGAAAATAACACTAAAATCACTCATTTTAAGGGTGTGCTTTTTTTTTAAAAAAGGAAGAATTTTATGGAATGGAGGGAGTAGAATATAGTTTTACTCCTTTTATATCTTTTAAAAGTCAAAATTACACGCCTTTTAAATCTTTTAAAAGTCAAAATTACAATAGTATTGTAGGACAGATGGTGTATTATTATTCTTTCACATGTTACTTTTTTTATTACACAGTACCAAAAAATATAAGGTATGAAATTACCTTATTAATAAATAGTAATTAATTTTATAATTTATAATTTTGGTAAAAAAATATAAGGTATGAGAATACATTTTTTAAACCAAGTCAACACTTTTATTTATTTTATACATGCTAATAGCACAAAACTAACTTACATTTATTATTATTATTACATTTATTATTATAATTAATATTAGCATACGGTACCATATTATTATTATTATTATCATTCTTTCACATGTTACCTTTTTTATTATACACGGTACCAAAACTTAGAAGGTATGAAATTACCTTATTAACAATTAAAAAATAATTATATAATTTATAATTTTGGTAAAAGAGTATAAGGTATGAGAATACATTTTTTTTAAACTAAGTCAACACTTACACTTATTTTATACACGGTAATAGCACAAAACTAACTTACCTTTATTAATATTATTATGCTTATTATTATTATATGATATCATGTTATTATTATTCTTTCCTATGTTACCTTTTTTATTATACACGGTATCAAAAATTATAAGGTATGAAAGTACCTTATTAATAATTAATAATTAAAGTTTCACATGTTACCTTTTTTTATTATACACGGTATTAATAATAATTATTACATTTATTATTATTATTATTATTATTATTACACGGTACCATATAATTACCATATTATTATTAAAGTTTCACATGTTACCATATTATTACACGGTACCATGACAATTAATAATAACTATAAAAAAAAGTGAGAGAGTATATAATTATGAAATTACGTTATACATGATACTTACATTTTAACCTATTAAATTATACAGGCACGGTACAACATAGATCAAAAATATTAATCACCTTTTTTGTGGTAACACGGTATTCATGATTATATCTTTTATAACACAGTATTAATAATTTGAAGATATGGGATTACCTCACTATTTTTATAAAATAAATAATATTTAATAATTTTAAGTTTCACATGTTACTTTAATTTAAATTATTTCACACAGTGCATTATAAATCATAAATATTAATTACTTTTTTGGTGGTACTTATCATTTCAACATTTGTGTTTCAACTTAAATTTTTAATTGATGTGTATTTAAAATGCGTATGAAGTAAAATCATGAATAAGGAAATCATTTTATTTAAAACATATATTAATTAAAAATGACAACGTGGTACCTTATTATTAAATAATAATAATGGAAAGTTTAATAACCTTTTAATCTACTATGTATAAAAAATCATTACCGTGTATTCAAGAGCCAACCCCTTTCCATTACAACACGGTATTACCTTACCATGTTTAGCAATTGGGAATTTCTCTGGCCTTTCATAATGAAGAGGCATGGATGCCCTCCCACTAAATTGCTTCCATTTGAACTTTTTAGCCACATTATTTTAACTTTTAAAATTGCATAATGGCCCTGTCTCTTTATCCTTAATTAATTTAACTCATCTACACATGCTAATGTCATTTAAAAATATTGTTTTTAAATTGAATCAATCATTCCGTTCTAAAAAAATATTTTAATTTGATTTTTTAGGATCGAAATTAAAAACTTTGGCCATGAAATTTAAAAAATAATTTGTTGAATAATAATATAAATTTAAACTACTCCCTCCGTCCCAAATTATTTGCAACGTTTACTTTTTCAGCAATCGCGGGAACTTTTGTTTATTTCTACGTTTTCATTGATTATTTGATAAAATAAATATTCTTGATACCTCTTATTTCGAAGAACTTTTTCATGTAGTTTTTTGATATGTAAATTTTATTTTTTATTTCTATACCAATATGTAAATAAAATGAATTGAAAAAACTTGATATTTTACCTGGAGAATACAAATGTGGCAAATATTTAGGGAAGGAGAGAGTATTTGATTTGTCTTTAAGTATAATTTTAAAATATCATATTTTGTTATAAAAATTATTAATTATATATATATATATATATATATATATATATATATATATATATATATGAAGTACTAAATTTCACTTTCATATAATTCATATAAAAATTAAGAGCACTCCCTCCATCCGAAAATGTTCTTCACATTCGACTTTTATTAGTCAAATTTTGTAAACTCTGACTCTAATTTGTGGAAAATATATATTATATTATGATATAAATTTAAGAGTAAATTCTATAATTGGTCCTTTATAACAGGGAGGTTTCCATATTTAGTCTTCTGTTATCATATATTACTCCCGTGGTCCTTTTTCTAAGGGCGCCTTTCCACAAATGGTCCTTTTTTGATCTTCTGCCATTTCGGTGTTAATTTAAAGGCTAAAAGTATAATTTGACAACAACATTATGTCCAGTGACGTGTTCTGATATTGGTTAAGTGGATAACACAAAAATAATGACTATGATTGTGGGCAAGGATTCCAACAAAAGACCACATTTGTAGACTATGGTTGTAGTAGAAAACGACTATAATTCACAAACGACTCAAACGGAACAGTCTTTAGAATTGTGTATGATAAAAAAGATATATTATCATGGTCAAATTACACTTTTAGCCCTCAAATTAACACCAACATGATAGAAGATAAAAAGGACTATTTGTGAAAAGATACTTATAAAAAAAGACCACTAGGGTAGTATTTGATAATAGATGACTAAATAGGGAAACCCCCTGTTATAAAGGACTAGTTATGGAATTTACTCTAAATTTAATATCAATATATTTCTAATGAATCATAATTTTGAAATATCAAAATTTTATAAAATATACCTATGTATAAGTATAGTTATTAATGGTCAAAATGTAGCATTGGAAATCGTGACAAGTCAAATGAGAAGAAAATTTCCGGATAGAGGGAGTATATAAAGTTTTAATAATTTTTTTCTTTTGATTTTGACATCAGATTTATTTTGATTTTTCAATTTTTAAATTTCAATTTTTTTATTTTAATCTTTTTACATATAATATTGAAATATCTTTCAAGAAAACTAATTTTAAAAAATTAGTTTTTCTAACAACCAAGTCCAAAAGATACTCTCTTTGGCTTTCCAAATTTTAACTTTTCAGATCAAACTGCCAAGTGAAAAAGCCATTATTCAAACACCGATTTTAGTTGTTCAATTAGTGAGATAACACTTTTTAAACTATTAGGTCTTCTATGTGACACTTTAACCATTAATATGCATGTATGTATGTGTGTGTGTATATAATTAATAAATTTTATAAAAAAATATGATATTTCAAAATTATAATTAAAAACAAATCAAATAATTTAAATTTATATTATTATTCAACATATTGTTTTTTAAATTTCATGGTCAAAGTTTTTAATTTTGATCCTAAAAAGTCGAATTAAAACTTTTTTTGGAACGGAATGATTGATTCAATTTAAGAACAATATTTTTAAATGACATTAGCATGTGTAGATGAGTTAAATTAAATAAAGATAAAGAGATAGGGCCATTATGCAATTTTAAAAGTTAAAATAATGTGGCTAAAAAGTCCATATGGAAGCAATTTAGTGGGAGGGCATCCATACTCCTTCATTAGCAAAGGCACCGGAGAAATTCCCTTAGCAATTAACTATTCATAATTAGTATACCTTTTATAATAAGGTATTAATAATTCTAAAGTATGGAATTAGATTACTATTAAATAATACTAATAATAATAATGAAAAGTAATAATATTAATTAGACACGGTAGAGATTATTAATTTATAATACACGGTGGAGCATAATTTAATGATATTAATTACCTTTTGCACATCACTATTTCATTTAATTCTTCGCATTCAAGTTGAACACCTTATATGATAGAAAAAGTAAAATAAAGTATAGATTGGGTGTATAATTGCATAACTTACCTTTTTAAAATTATTTCCAGTTTTTTTTTTGTGAAATTGAGTGTATAATTGTATAACTTACCTTTTGTAAGTATTTCCAATTGGGTGTATAAAAATGACAGTTATTTATGTTATTAAAATAATGTGTGATAAAAAAGGTACATATTTCGAACGCCCCTACACAAAAAAAGAGGTTAAAATTAATGTATGAAAGGAACTGTATGGAGTGTACCAAAAAAGAGGTTAAAATAACGTACGAAATTAATTTTTTTAGATTAATAATAATAATAATAATAATAATAATTTTTTAGATTAATAATTTCACGTTTGTAATGCCATTGTGTGTAAAAAACTATTATTAATTTTAACATCATAATAATTAACTTGCCATTTGTAAATGTAATAACGCATGGAAAATTAATCAGTGGCGTAAGTTTTTAATAATTATTATTATATTTATGGTTAAAAAAAGAGACTAAAATAACGTACGAAATTAATTTTTTATAATAATAATAATAATTATTTTTAGATTAATAATTTCACGTTTCTAAAGCCATTGTGTGTAAAAACTAATATTAATTATAACTTCATAATAATTAACTTTCCATTTGTAAATGTAATAACGCATGGAAAATTAAGCACAGGCATAAGTTTTTAATAATTTTTATTATAATTTCGGAAACATACCATAAGTGAACAATTTCCATTTGTTAATGTAATAAAAATTACGGTTTTAAGTGAACAATTGCCATTTTTTGTAAATGTAATATATAACGTATGAAAAATTAACCAGAGACGTATGTTTTTAATCATTATTATTATATTTTCGGACATTTACCATTTTAAGTAAAAAATCACCATTTGTTAATGTAATAACGAATGGGCGGGAAAAACTCCATGTCTTTTTAAATAAAGTATGGATTCATTGTATATTTATATATGTAGCTATTCAAATATTTGAAAACAAAGCAAACCAAAACAGTTAACGAATAATTTTTTAGAATTATTCAAAGATGCTAATCTGTGTACCATATATACATATAAAGGGTATGGAACACTTCATATTTTTAGATTTAGAATTATATTTTTTCATAAAAAATTGATTTTAAATCATTCATTTTTTTGAAATAATTAGTAATAATGCACATACTTATGTTAATAAATTTTATTAATTTTATATTTATGTTAGTGGTTTTATTCCAAAGAAGCATTATTTTTTCCATTTATAACTTTTTTCCCCTTTTAATAACGTATTACTTTTTAGCACTAATATATTACACATTTACATACTTTTTAGAGGCTTTCCCCTTAAATAATTTACATAAACTAAGAATATAAATTAAATTTAAAATATACAAACCAATGTAAAAATTGTTTAAAAAATTAGACAATATTCGTTTTATAGGCTTTCCAATTTTAAACAATATTCACATTAGTTTGTATATTATAAATTTAATTTATATTCTTAGTTTATGTTAATTATTTATGGGGAAAACATATTAAAAGTATGTAAATATTTAATATATTAGTGCTAAAAAGTAATATGTTAAAAGGGGAAAAGAGTTATATATAAATGAAAAAAACAATGCTTCTTTGGAACAAAACCACTAACATAAATATAAAATTAATAGAATTTATTCAGAGAAGTATATGCATTGCTTATTATTCCATAAAAATGAATGATTCAAAATCAAATTTTTTATGCAAAAATATAATTCTAAATAAAAAAATATGAAGTGTTCCATACCCTCCATGCATATATATGGTACACTGATTAGTATGTTTAAATAATTCTAAAACCATTATTCATTAACTGTTTCGGTTTGCTTTGTTGTTAAATATTTGAATAACAACATATATAAATGTATAAGCAATTAAAATATAAAAATTATACTATAATATCAGAATAACAAATATGTTTAATGAAATATTTTTAATATTTTTTTACTAATATATTTTATAAAAAATTCGTTGGTCAAACATATAGCTCGAAAAATGAACAGGAGTGTTAAAAAAAATAGGATTACTAATTCCTAAGAGTGAACGCATGAAACTCACAAAAAACTACTCCCTTCGTCCCATAAAACCTTTCTCCTTTCTTTTTTCATCCGTCCCATAAAACACTTCTCGTTTCTATTAGAGAGTCACTTTTACCCTTTACTTTTTCATACCCTATCACATCATACTTTTTTACTAATAATCCACCCATCAAATCCTACTATTACCCATCACATCAAAGGACATTTTTGGAAATTCAATACCAAAATACACTCCCCTTAAATCTCTTCAAAAAGCAAAACATCTCATGTTTTATGGGACGGAGGGAGTATTAATTTAGTCACCATGTTCAATCAATAAATAATACTCCGTAAAATAAACTAATGCCAAATCACTACTCTGTATATAATTAAAATTGTCAACTTATTAAAATAATAAATAGGTGGCTGATGACTTGTCAAATAGACCCGTCACATGTAAATTAAATTGCGTGCATATTGTTTGTAATTAAAATAAATAATATATTTTTATATATTTTATTTTCTAATTTTTTCCCCATCCAAACCCCTTTTTTATTTCCTTGGTTTAATTTTATTTGTTTTCCATTCAAAGCATTTCTTTTCTTTTGTTTGTAATGTTACTTCATATAAAACATTTTTAAAAAAGGAAAAGATTTTTTTGTACAAAAATACAAAAAACTCCCCTAACTTGAAGGGAATATTATAATCGAGACATGATTTCTACATAAAATTTATTTTGTTCAATGAAAAAAATAACAAAACATAATTTTTTCAATTCAAAAGTGTTTGGACGAAATTATAAGCGAGACATAAGTCACACCTGTGACGACCAAACCTCTATCCCCGACCCCTTCTAAGAACCCGTCTGGCAAGACATGTTTGAGATCGTCATGGTCTGCTCCTTTGGGAAACCTTAAAAACCAAATGAAGTGAAGGTTGCTGAGGTAGAGATCATGAGCGATCTCAGTCAAGTCTTCTTCGGTCAAGAAGTACTCGCTTCCGAAGGAAATGAATATCGTGGATTTCTCCTTTTTCCCATTGAGCCACTTGATCACCTCGGATTCCTCATCTTCTTTACTAGGTTCTTGAACCAACGCCCCGACCGGGGCAATTCCCTTAACGGTCAAAGTGGTGGTGAAATTACTATGCTGACCTCGATCTCATCAAAGGTCTTGATCAAGACGAGACAACAAGAGCACGCAAAGCAATCGTGCACGCTGCTCTCGTCTTTCTTGCGTCTCTCCGGAGGGGTCAACGCGTTCTCCTTGGCTATCTTAGCGAGCTCATAGTCTCGGTATCGGATGGCGGGGAAAGGGAACTCGGCGCCCGGCTGATTGAACTGTTGGAACATGAAGCAAGTGACGGTGGAGCTCATGGTGAGGAACTCATTCGCGGGGATACCAAGCTCTGCCGCCTCCTGTGGGGCCCATGGCAGGAGGAAATCGTAGATTAGGAGGTCGGGTTTGAAATCGCGGAGGTGCTGCGCAAAGGCGGGACGCGAGGCTTCGAACGCCTCCTTGAGATGGGGCATGAGGTGCGGAGGGAGGCCGTTGGTGGTGTGGTTTTGCGGCGGAAGCTTGGGAGACGACGAGAGCGTGAGCTTGAGAAAGCTCACGGAGGCGGCGTCCCCAGCGGCGCCAGCTAGCTTCTTCTTCACCAACTCATGGGTTGTAGGGGTTGAACATATGTAAATCTCAAAATTTCTCAAGCTCAACTGCTTGCCCAATTCTAAGAAAAGTGAGACATAGCCAAAGCCTAGCCATGGAAACTTCACCACATGTAGGCGGCCGTCGTGGCGGTGGCCGCTGCTGTTGTTTCGCTTCGTTCCTTTCATGGAATACATATATTTCTCTCTTCCTTCCTATTCACTCCTTTAGCTCAAAATGTAATTTTTTTATTGTTTGAAGTGGATAAACAATTGTAAAAGATATGTGTTTATATATAGACGAAGAAGGTTGATTAGGGGTTCTGTGCATGCATGATAATGATACCGCTCCTTGGAACCCTAGGCGTCACCGAGGTGGAGACAACTGTAGGTTGCAGCGGCAGCCTAGATTACGTGAGGGAGAGAGAGAGAGTTAGAGAGAGAAAGAGTTTAGGGGAAAATATATTTCTTCTTGATTGATATTGCTTGTGATGTCCCTATTTATAGATGATAGGGTTCCCCGACCTAATTAAACTATGTTATCTATCTTGACGGTTCAAAAAAGCGACGAGGTAAAGAACCGTAAAGAAACCCTCGAAGGAGCTTATAATTCGCTCACCTAACAAAATCTAAGTACAAGAAAATAATATAACTAGTAACAAAATAATTTTATAGCACATAATCTCCTAATCGTCTGGGTGGTCCGGCATTGCGACGTGGTTGACTTGACGTAGTTGTCTCCGTAGTAGTAGGCTCAACGTCCATGGTCGTACCCATATCAACTCCCCCCGTCTTCGAAGCGTCCTTGTCCTCAAGGACGAGATCAGGAAAATGACGTCGAAGCTCATCCACGGGCTCCTAGTGGTGTCGAAGTCAGAGTCGGCAGACCAACGAATCAACCACTGCCCCTGCGGAAGACCATCGACCAAAACTACTCGCCGTTGGGCAGCCGATACTAGTGTGGCAAAGGGGCGACCGTTGTGGAACTCGGTTGGCAGGGATGGAACTGGAATGGTACTGCCATGCTGAACAAAAGGCCGAAGAAGAGAGACGTGAAACACGTCGTGGATCCGGCAGCCCTCGGGCAGTTGCAAACGGAATGCGACCGGCCCAATTCGTTCAAGAACCTGAAATGGACCATAGTAGCAGCGGGAAAGTTTCTACGATGTGGGATGGCCCACAGAATATTGACGATAGGGCTGGAGTTTAAGTAGGACCATGTCGATACCCTCATGGTGGCTGCAATTCAACGCCAATTCTACCCAAGGAAAGAAGGCAGCCCATTTGTGCGGTCGGTCGTAGGTGAAGGCGCGCAGGTACTGCTCGAGGCCGCGGTTGACGACCTCGGTTTGGCCGCCTATCTGAGGGTGGTAGGCCGTGCTAAATTGAAGCATGGTGCCACTTAGCCACATTAATTCCTTCCAAAAGATACTCATGAACACCCGATCCCGGTCTGAGACAATCGTAGACGGAAACCCGTGGTGTTTGACCACCGTGTCGAGGAAGAGTTGGGCCACGCGTGGAGCATCATAACCTGTCGGAAGGCCTCCAAAATGTGCATACTTTGTGAGCCGATCTACTACCACCATAATAACTGTGATCCCACGTGACGATGGTAGGCCGGTAATGAAATCCATGGAGAGGGCGTCCCAAACGCAGTCCGGTATGGGAAGAGGTTGTAGAAGGCCAGCGGGCTTCTGTGTGGAGTACTTGGTGGCCTAGAAAACGGCACATGCCGCCACAAATTCCTGGACAGAATGGCGCATGCGTGCCCAATAAAAAACAGTGGCTAAGCGACGGAAAGTACGGAGACGACGTGCGTGCCTCCGATGTGGGTGGAGATGACGACATTGAGAACGGCAATGAGAGCACCAATGATACCGCTCCTTCGAACCCTAGGCGTCACCGAGGTGGAGACAACCGTAGGTTGCAGTGGCAGCCTAGGTTACGTGAGGGAGAGAGAGAAAGTTAGAGAGAGAAAGAGTTTATGGGAAAATATATTTCTTCTTGATTGATATTGCTTATGATGTCCCTATTTATAGATGATAGGGTTCCCCGGCCTAATTAAACTATGTTATCTATCCTGACGGTTCAAAAAAAGCGACGAGGTAAAAAACCGTAAAGAAACCCTCGAAGGAGACAAAATCTAAGTACAAGAAAATAATATAACTAGTAACGAAATAATTTTATAGCACATAATCTCCATATCGTCTAGGTGGTCCGGCATTGCGACGTGGTCGACTTGACATAGTTGTCTCCGTAGTAGTAGGCTCAACGTCCATGGTCGTACCCGTATCAGATAAGTAATTAAGGAGAAGTAAATACTATGGAACATATATGGTAATCTTTCACTTCAATGGAATCCAATAATATATTATTCGGGAGATTTCTACAATAAATAAATGGAGTTGTATTTTTTAACTTTCTTTTTATCTCATTATGTTTCCTATTTTAGTTTTATATCCATAAATTTATGTCCTGAGAAATATGAAAATTAACAATTAATTTGAAGACAAAAATTTACAAAATTAAAAAAACTAAGGCCTCATCAAATATTACTAAAAAAAGATTTTGTTAGATTTGACCGACCCTTTCTTTGAGGACCTAAGAAGGAATGAGTATAAGACAATCCCCAAAGATATGAATTAATTACCTTAACTTGTGTTAGGCGAAAATCTTTCTATAATTATTCATATTTTCCCTCGCCCAGAATTAAATGTTTCATTTCATTTTTGGACTTCTTAAAATAAAATGATCGTTTTTAAGGAAACAATTATATGATTCATATTTTTAATAGATATACTCTGTAATATGTTTCATACTATTTCTCTAAAACAATATTTTGATCATATGATCTCACTTTTTTGAACTTAAATGTACTATATTGAAGATTGAATTTTCATCTAACCAGTATAGAGTAGCATCTATGTTAGAGAAGGAAATAAATTACAGTCATATATATTCTCGAATTCATCCATAAATTAAACAAAATAATCACTTATTAAATGGGAAATGATATTTGTACTCTATTTTTACAATGGGCACTCCACAATACTCCATCCATTTCTTTTTAATTATTCAATTCACTTTGTGTGCCGAACGTTTTGGCTAATTACATATAAAATATACAATGAATTAGAAGATAAAAGTTATACTAAATTGTTGATATCGAAAAATACTTTTAGTCTATTTTTTTAATAAATTTTTACCAATATATTTTGAAAGGTACTATTGGTCAAACATTAGACTTGAAAAGTGAACTCGACAATTAAAAAAGAATGGAGGGAGTACATTCTTAATGCGAGAGGGAGAATAGTATGGAGTATATTTTGGAGTGTCACTAGCGAAAAAATGAAATGCAAATATCATTATTCGTACTAATTGCATATATCTTTTTTACTCGAAGCTCCCCTTTCTATTTATTTTGTTGTTACATTATTAAGACAAGTGTTTTATAAAATTCATCTCGAACTTCACACATAAGCAAATTAATTAAAAGAACAAATGTGCATCTCTAAAATAATTATTAGGGAGATTTCCCTATGTAGCACTATAATCTAGCTAAAATTACCTATCTAACATTGCTATGACATTTTTGACACCAATAGAAATATCCAGCGTGACATTATCTTTAGTGCGTTCATTCTTCCTTTTTTTCTTAATTCTTAAGATTATATTAATTTGGATACCACATTGCCTTCCCTTGCCGTCACACTGCCCCCTGCTGCCACCACTACCTCCCTCCCCTGCCACTACCGCCACCACACTACCACCTTTCACCGCCACACTGCACAACCTTCACACACTCTCTGCGTTGCCACGCTACCTCCTCCTGCCGCTACATCGTCATCATTGCCACCCCACCACCACACTGCCATCACAAATGCCACCCTCGCTACACTACCACCATCACCATGCCCACTCTTGTCACGCGAGTATGAACAATATCAACGTCCACGCCGCAATACAATCCTCCGCCGCCACACTATCATCATCACACCGCTACCATCATCAGAACCACCACCAGAGTACACCCCTCCACCATACATCCAACCATGCCACCTCATGACAACTATCCCTCCAAATTATCATTGTCATTGTTAAATATGTTATGTATATATTTAATATTAATTATGTGATCATTGTATTTATGGTAGTTTACATGTATAAGTTCCCTTCCATAATTAGGAATCTTCTGTAACTATTTATACGAGGCTTCGCCCTCCTTTATTTCTTAATAGAAAATAACAATTCTTCATGGTATCAGAGCCTCTCGTTGCTCTCCGTCTCTCGTCCGACCTAGCGCAGGCTCAACCCTAGCCGCGCCGTCGCCGTCTCTCTCTCTAGGCCGAGAAGCCGCCGCAGCCGTCTCTCCCTCCTCCATCGGCAGTGCCTAGCCACTGTCTCTTTCCGGCGATCTTCCTCCCCACGGAGAGCAACCACCCTTTGGTCACCATGTCCGAGAAGCCTTCCGTCACTGCCTCAACGTCATCTTCTCCAACTCCGCACTTGGCGTTCATGACGATCTCGAACGTGAAGCTCTATGTGTCGATTCTCCTAAGCTTCACCGAGCCCAACTACAAAAAGTGGAGCCGGCTCTTCCTTCTTCTTATTCGAAGGTTCTCTTTGGGTGATTTCCTCACCGGCATGGCGTCTCCTTCCAGCGCCGACGACTCGGAATGGTTCCAACTTGACGCCCTCATACAAGGTTGGATCCTCTCCACGGTAAATGATGAAATTTGCGATCTTGTTCTGTCTACAACCAACTCCGCTTCCGAGCTTTGGAAAGCCACCTATAACATCTTCCACGACAACAAGCCGGCCCGGGCGATGCAACTTGAACACCAATTCCGCACCACCACGAAGGGTTCTCTCTCTATTGCCGCTTATTGTCAAACCCTACGGAATCTTGCGGATTGGTTGGATGATGTAGATGCCACTGTTTCCGAACAACAACATGTTCTCCAAGTCTTGCGTGGCCTCCCGGATGATCTTCGAGGACAAACGTCGTTCCTTCAATACCAAATGCCGCCCCCGACCTTATTCCAAACCCGGTCGGCCCTCCTCTTAATTGAACAACAACGGGCTGAACTGGGCGTCGAAAGCAACACGGGGGATGGCGGCACGGCGTTATACGCCGGCATTGGAGGCTCACGGCGACAGGGCAGCGCTGGTGGCGGGCAGTCAGAATCCAGCGGCGAGGGAGGCTTCAAGCAGCAGCAGCAGTATTCCCAGCACCGTGGCGGTTCATCTCGGGGTCGTGGTCGCGGCCGTAGCTCCGGATCAAATGCACGAAACACCCTAGGGCAGCCCTCCGGACAGTTCACCTACCCAAACCCTAACCCGGGCCTTCTAGGCCCACGGTCAAACCCCTACCCGCACCCCCAACACCCACAAGCCTATTTTTCTACCCCTCACCCACCCCACAGCCTTACCCCCCCTACCCCAGCCCCTACCCGACAGCCCCCTCTCCTTCCTACNCCCTCACCCATAAGCCATCTCACCGGTGTCCCCACCCCCACTGCCCTAGCCCACAATTTCGACACCCTCAGCCTCCGTGATCCAAATTGGTATATGGACACCGACGTCACTCACCACATTGCCTCGGACCCAGGTACTCTTTCTCATGTTCGTAATCATTCATTAAATTCTTCATCATATATCACTGTCGGTAATGGTTCTAAAGTCCGCACTACGGCTATAGGTAACTATAAATTTCCCACATCCCCTCCCCTTAACTTACAAAATATTCTTGTCTCCCCCCACATTATCCACAACCTTATTTCTGTTCGCCAGTTCACCTGTGACAATAATTGCTCTATTGAATTTGACTCCACTGTTTTTTCTGTGAAGGATATGCTGACGGGAACCGTGATTCATCGGTCCAATAATGCTGGCCCTCTCTACCTCATGAGCCAGTCCACCGCCCAAGACCAAGCCCAAGTCAACGTTGTCACTGGTAACTCGGAGCTCTGGCACCGTCGTCTTGGTCTCCCTAGCCTTGCCGTCCTTCGTGGAATCCCTAGTCTTTCCTCCATGTCTTTTAAACATTTACAGCACTCTCTTTGTCATGCTTGTCAGTTGGGGAAACATGTTCGTCTTCCCTTTGAGTCATCGAGTCGTATTTCTACTTTTCCCTTTCAGCTTTTACATACTGATTTATGGCAATCACCTGTTACTAGTGTTACTGGTTTTAAGCATTATATGGTACTCTTGGATGATTATTCTCATTTTTTGTGGGTGTTTCCTCTTAAACACAAATTTGATGCTTGTTCTCATCTTCACACATTTATTGCTTTTGTGAAAAATCAGTTTCATGCTACTATTAAAGCTGTTCAGTGTGATAATGGCACTGAATACAGGAACATGCCCCTTCGTAATATTTTTGAATCCTTGGGTATAATCTTCCGCTTCTCGTGTCCACACACTAGCCAACAAAATGGTCGTGCTGAACGGACTATTCGCACCATCAATAACACTGTGCGATCTCTTCTCTTTCAGGCTCAACTCCCACCCACTTTCTGGGTTGAGGCTCTACACATGGCCTCTCATCTTTTCAACCTCTTACCCACCACCACACTCCAAAATCACACTCCCTATGAAGTCCTTTATGGTTCTAAACCCACCTACTCTCACCTTCGTGTCTTTGGTTCTCTCTGTTATCCCAATATATCCGCCACCGCCCCTCATAAACTCGAACCTCGCTCTGCCCGATGTGTCTTCTTAAGGTACCCGTCCAACCAACGGGGATACCGATGCCTTGATCTTCTCACTCACAAAATCATCATATCTCGTCATGTTATTTTTGATGAAAATACCTACCCTTATTCTCACCCCATC